TATAATAATAATAATAATAATGATGACGATGATGATGATGATTATGATGATGATGATGGTGATGACGATAAAAGGAAAAAAAATTTTTTTTAAATATATATTTAGATTAATAAAACCGAATGGCGCGTGGTAAAAAAAAAAATTTTTATTACTCATCGTAAATTTATTACCCGTAATTTTTATTACCTTCAAATTTATAATTATTATTAATAATGTGTTAAAAAAAAAGAAAAAAAAACTTACCCAAATCCGCTGGTAACGATATGGCAACAAATTCGACAAACGTCGCAACGAAAAGAATCGATAAAGTTCCAGAAACGGCACAACGACTCATTATTATTATTATTTGTTTGTTCGTAAGAAAAAAACCACCGGAAACGCGAACTTTTATTATTACGCGAAATAATAAAAATAATAAAATTCACAAAAATTTGATGATTAAATTAAACAAATCGAGTATTGTTTTTATGTTGTCGTAAAAGTTTTTCGTTCACATCGCCCGATTGTTGTTTTACCTGAAACAAACAAAACGGAAACGGAAACGTTAATATAATTGTTATATTATTACAATACATAAATAATCAAAATAAGTAATCAATATATATTATAAATAAATAAAGTAAACAATTTAAATAAAAGTTTTACGGTTTTTTTTCTTTTTTTATTTAAATTATCAAATGAATTTTAAATAAAAAAAAAAAAAGTTTTATAAAGTTGGCAACCCTTTCACTCTTTTAACCTTTTTTTTCCTGCATAATAATGAATCAAAAACAATTTTCACTCTTTACAAAAAACCAACAAAACTTTGAGTTTTTTCAATGCGTTCTTTTTTTCAATTTTATTCTACCCGAGAATTACGCACTTGCGTACACGTGCGTACACGCACGTACGCACGCGTTACGCATTGATTAAATATAATCTTTTATCATTTATTTAGACGGAGTTGAAGAAAAAAAAATATGAAAGTTATAAATCATCGAAATTCACCTGTTTATTATTAATTATTAATTATTATTATTATCATTATCATTATCGTCGTCGTCGTCGTCGTTTTTAGTGAAATAAACTTTTGATAAAGTGACGAAAAACCGCATAATTTTTTTTTTTTTTTTTTGGCAGATAAACAAAAAAAACATTTTGTTTTAATAATTTTGTTTTTTAAAATATTCGATAAATTTTGTTTTTTTTTTTTTTTTTTTTTTAGTACTAAAGATATTAAAAAAGTTGGCAAGAGATATCATAAAGTAATAAATTGGAAAATTTTCAAACATACTATGTTGTTTAGGTTTTTTTTTTCGGCTTGTTTGTTTTAATATGTTTTTAGGGGAAGAATAAATTATTTAAATCGTGGAAAAATATTAAATTGTTTGTTTGTACAAAAAATTTTGTTTATGTTGTGTGCATGTGTGTTTAAAAATTATGTTTTCGTTACGTATGTGTTACGATGACGACAATAAGAAAAATTTTCGACGTACAAAACCGTTTGAAAAAATTATTAATTCGTGCGTTTGTTGTTGTTGTTGTTGTCGTGTTTGTTTCTCGCGTTGTTTAACTAAATATTTTAACAGAAACAAAGAACAACAACAACAATATTTATAAATAATTATTCCTAGAGCAAATATGAATCCTTCAATCTAATTAATCAAATTAATAAAACTCTATGTGAAATTTATACCGTTCGATAATGATAATGATAATAATAATAATAATAATAATATAATTTTTTTTCGCCTACGTTTTTTTTTTTATGAAAGGTTGAAAATTATTTAAACGCGAAACTTTAATTGATTAGTTTTCAAAACTTTAAAATCCCAAACGTTGGGTTTGTTTTTTTTTTTTTTTTAGTAAAATCAAACAAACCTCCCCTTTTCTCTTTACCCCTCCCCTCGCCCGCTCCCCACGCAATCATCAACGAACCAAAAAAAAATTGTAAATAATTAATTTAATATTATTATTATTATTTTCTTAGAATCAAATCAAATCAAATCAAAGGAAAAAAAAAAAAAAGAGTTTTTATCATTATAATGGAAATCATTTTTATTCTTCACTTCCGGTGAATTAATTTTTATTTAACGAAAAATAAAAAAGAAAAGAAAAGAAAAAAGAAAAATTAAATTAAATAAAAATTAAAAAAAAAAAAAAAAAAAATTTCAATCATTCAAAATGATGAATTGACTTTTCTTTTTTTCTATCTGTCTTTTGCGCACAAAATAATTTTATTTATTTCCCCTCCTCTCTCTCCTCCCCTCCACCTTTTTTTCTTAAGAACGGCTATATCCGAATTGTCATTATTATCATTATTTGAAATAATAAATTTATTATGGATTTTTCAATAGTACGACAAACGAAATGATTTTGAGATTGTATAGCAGCAAATCGTTAATTTTATCACGTGTTGTTTGTTTACTTTTTTTTTTGTTTGTTTCTTCCTAAAAAAAATGTATAGCGCTATAATATTATTATCTATTAAAATTATCAATCGATTATTAAATGGTCTGGAATCCGCGTTTTTTTTGGGGGGAAATGCAAAAAAAAATGAAAACGTTTTTTAGCTTTGTGAAATTTTGTTAACGATTCATTAAATAATTTATAAATGTGACGTCATTAACCGGGGAGGAAAAAATTCTCGTAGGATGATTTTAGATCGTTCGTGTTGTTGTAGTGAAAATGATAAGTTACAAAAAAAAAAATACTACAACGCATCACAATCAACGCCAAAAATTATCAATGATTGCCGACGACGACGGCGATTCTTTAATATTATTATTATTATTAAATTGTAATTTTGTAGTTTGTTTTGTAAGGTAATAAATTGTAGTGAGTAATAAAAGAGAATGAAAAAAAAAGCTCGATTTCGATAAATGTTACGAAACGGGAATAAAAATGAAAAAAAATTTGTTTTTTTTTTTTTCGGACGTTTTGATGGATGCGTGATGTGATGACGTTGACGATGGCGGTGGTTTTGACGGGGGTGGCGGTGGCGGTGACGTCGCCGTCGGTGGTGATTTCGTGCGTAATCGTTCACGTCAATTTCCATCACGTATCGTTTTAAATTTTGTCGTTACCACCGATATATGAATAATTTGTTGAGCGTAATTTATACGGATTATTATTTTTATTATTTACGCGTTTGCATTAAAAACACGAGAGGGATTTTAACGTGACCTTTGACCTATGCAAAAATAATTACAATTTTTTTTTTTTAAAAGATTATTATTATTCATTATTATTATTATTATTTCAATTAAAAAAAAAGAAAGAAAGAAAGAAAAAAATCACGAAGCTTTTTGACTTTGATGTTTGGTTTTTTTTTTTTAATGTTTTATGTTTTTTTTTTTGTTTAAACAAAATCCCTAAAAGGGGTGTAGTAATAATAATAATAATAATAATAATAATAATAATAATAATAATAATAATAATATAAAAAAGAGGAACGTAGTTGATTAATAAAACAAAAACTCGAATTTTCTTTTTTTTCTTTTTTTTTTTTGATCGTAATTTAAAATTTTCTTTTTTTTTTTTTTTTTTATTACAAAAGCGTGTGATTGCGGTGCCGGGAGGTTTTGAAAGTTTTCCTTTTATTTCTTTCCTTTTTTTTTACGTACGATCGCTTAAATATAAATTTAATGTCAATTTTTTTTTTCAACGGAAAAGGAACAAAAAAAAGGAAAAAGAAAATGAAAATGAAAAAAAAGGAAGTATATATGTAAGTTTTGCGTGTGGAAACAAATAAAAGAAAAACGAAAAATTTTTTTTTTTTTTTTGAAAGTTTTTCTTTTTTTTTTTGTTTATAAAATATCATTATTATTATTATTATTACCACGACAGCGAAAAAAAAACAATGATGATGATGATAATAATAATATTATAAATCTTTTAATTTATCAATAATGTTTAAAAAAATTCGTTCGTTTTATTTCCGGTAAAAGGGAAAAAAAATTTTTTGATTGATATCTTTCTTATTTTAAATTTAAAAAAAAAAATTTGAATTAAGATGAATAACTCACGCACCCGCATACCCACACGCACATCCTTTTTTCTCTCTCTCGCGCACACAAATACAAACAAAAAAAAAAATTTCTTTTCTTTCTTTTAGCAAACAAAAGAAAATAAATTAAGTAAATAATGAAAAATTTTCCCGAGGTCAACTTTGTTACACACAAAAAACGTACGAAACTTTTTCTTTTTCTCTCTCTCTCTTTCTACTTATATGTTTTACTTCATTTTCGATTGGGGAGAGAGGGAGTGAGAGAGAAAAAAATAACGATAATAATAATAATACTTTAAAAAAAGAAATGAAAAATCAGGATTTTTATTGGGAATTTCATTCGAAATCAATACCGATTTCGGTACCACCACCACCACCCTTAAGTTTCCCCCTTAAAAAACCAAAAAAAACGGAATGGGGAGGGAGAGAGAGAGGGGAGGAGAAGGGAGGAGAAGGGAGGGGGAAAAAAGTTTTCAAAGTTCGACCTCTTAAAAATGTAATTAAATTAAATTCGACTCAATTATAATAAATAAAAAAAAAACCCGTCGCAAGTTAAAATTAAATTAATTCAATTTATTTAAACAAAAAAATCCTCCAAGTTAACGTTAAGAAGATTTATTTATTTATATAACGATAATATAAACACGCACGCACGTTCGTTCTTACGCATGTTTAATATGCGTGAATTCAAAACGCACGCACTCACAACTAAAAATTATGTGCATATTAAAAAAAAAAATGTTTGCCTGTTTTATTGTCATAAAAAAAAATTTTTTTTTCTCTCTCATTTTTTTTTTTTGCTTTTCCAGTTAATTTTCCAGATAAAAATTATCTAATCTATATATTTATATAAATGTATACATTTTATATTTTTTTTTTTGGGAGAAAATAAAAACTGAAACCCTCCCCCTCTTTCCCCCGCAAAAAAAAAAAAAATTTATACGAAAATAAATTTCGTTTTCGTTTTTTCGGTTTTAATTTAAATTTAACTTAACGTAATTGAGAGTTTGTGTATCATGTTTTGTCTTATATATAAGAAAACGTTTATCTTATTTAATTTCTTTTTTTTTTTCTTAAAAGAGAAAATAAAATGAACGAGCGTGCATTTGTCATTTATATTATAAACCCTATTTTATTACATTTTATTTTATATAAAATAATTTTTGAAACTTTCTGTTACACATTTAAAACGAGCGAGAGAGAAAGAGAAAGAGAAAGTGTGTGTGTGTGTGTGTGGGGTTGGGGTGTTAATGTAGAGAGGATCAGAGAAAAGAGATGCACAGATTAAGAAAGAGATAGAGAGAGGGAGAGATACCAAACAATATTATTTAAAGAGAAAAACACACGCAGCAAGAGGGAGAGAAAGAAAGGAAAAACGGAAATGAAAGAAATGCCAAACAATTTTTTTCTTTTACTTATTTTGGCAGGGAGTGGGGGTAGGATGGGGGGAAGCAGCAGCACCAATTGATGTAATTGTTTATTTTTAATTTTTTGGGGTGCCAGATGATGAGCTCGAGCAAAAGGTTACACGCGCACATTCAAATATTCACACACGCACTTTAACTTATTAAAAAAAAAATAATAATAACAATAAAATTTTGGGTTAATTGGTCATTTGGGTTTTCTTTATTACGTAATAAAAATAATAATAATACAACAATAAAAAAACGTGAGAAAAAACCAAAAAAAAAAAATTTTTAATTCGAACGAAATAAAATTTTCCAACACGAGGTTGAAATAAAAAACCCCTTTAAAAAAAAAATTTAAATTAAATATTATTATTATTATTATACCGGAAGGTCGCCGCAGGGAGAAAAAGGAAAAAGGTGATAAAATTACGAGGTGGAGAAGGAGAGGGGAAAGGGGGGGTTATTAAAACGTGTTTACGCACCGAAAATAAAAAAAAAAATTAAAAAAAAAAAATTTTTTTTTTCATTCGCTGTTGTAAATGACTACTAATAAAAATCAAACGTGAGATATTAAATTAAATACCCGTATAAAATAATTTTCGTACCTGTTTTATTTTTTACAATAATAATAATAATAATAATAATAATAATTATTATTATTATTATTATTATTATTATTATTTACCGAGGGGAAAATATTTTTATTACGCGTTACAAAAAAAAAACAAGAGGAAAAAAAATTTTTATTTTTATTTATAATTTGTTCGTTAATAATTAAAATTTTTTACCTTAATATCACGTGACGGGTACGTTTAATTATTATTATTATTAGAAATTATCGATTTTATTAAAAAATAAATAAAAGAATTTTAAAAAGAAAACGATGGACGAAACAACAACAACAACAAAAAAAAAATTTTCTTCTTCGTCGTCGTCGTCGTTGTTTTCCTCTTATATTATTTCTTTATAAAAATTTTTTATTTGTAAATGACAACAAAAGAAAATCGTTGCAGTTTCCAGAGTAATTTTTTTTTTTCTAGAAAGAAAAAGAAAAAGAAAAAAAGAGTATTAAAAAAAAAAGAGTTTCTTAAAAGCGATTCGAAGTAATATTCTACGTATTATAAATTAAATTTTCTATTGAGATCTTTAAGATTTACAGCGGTTAATAAAAAAGATTTTTTTGTAATTTAAAAAAAAAGAAAAAAAAAGGAAATCAAAAATGGCGGCGGTTGCGGTGGCGGGTGGCGGTGACGGCGTTGAGAAAAAGTTCAATGCATCGTAGATTATTAACTGAGCTTTAGCCAAAAAAGTGGGGTAGAAGGAGAAATGAAATATTGTTTTTTTAAAAAAAAAATTTATCTCATGATAATTAATACGATTATTTTTAACTTTTTTGCCAAAGGATATTAAAAAAAAAAAAAAAAAAAATCTTCTTGACTTCCTAAACGAATTTCACCGAAAAAAAAAATTTCATTTTTAAATTCGTACTTGTCTCCCTCTCTCTCTCTCTCTTCTTCCCCCTCTCCCACCGAAAATCTCTTCCCTGCTCCCCCGAAAAAAAAATAAAAACAAATTTATATGCAAAAAAAAAAAAGTCATAAAAGTAAAAATGTTATTAAACAAAACAAGAGTAGGGAGGGAGAGGGGAGGAGAAAAGGAGGGGTT